AGTCAGAATTCAGAGATTAAAGTCAGAATTCAGAGATTAAAGTCAGAATTCAGAGATTAAAGTCAGAATTCTGACTTTTTTCCCCATGTTAAACTAAAATTTAAAAATCAGTTAACTTTTTTTTTTTTTCAGTGGCCCTAATCCTCTTCCGTACAATGGGGGAAAAAAATAAAATTAAAATCAGTCCACCTACATGTACCTGCAATTACTACATCCTTAGAGCCAGGGGGCGCCACTGCTTGTCTACTGCATGTTTCTCACCATTGGGCTACATATGGTTTCCATGGAAACATGACAAAATTCAGTCAGCAGAATCATGAAACCAAAAAAACTTTATTTACAAAAACAGCTGACGTTTTTACAGCCAACGCCCGCTGGACAGGTAAAACAAGAACCGAGGATCCATTAAAAAGAAAACAGAGGGGGGTCTGGGCTGTGATGTCATCAGGTCAGATCAGGTCGGCCACTGCAGAGAGAAAAAAAAACCCCAATTATGTTAATGTCGAAACAGTCAATCGCACCACGCCTAAGAAATCATGGTTGTCAAGGTAACGGAGCTGTTCTCCAAATGGTCAGCTCTTACCGTTCATGGGCATCTCATCGATCTGGGTGGAATAGTACTGCTCGATGTCTCGCAGGATCCTGATGTCGTCGTTCTTCACAAAGTTGATGGCCACACCCTTCCTGCCGTAACGACCAGATCGACCAATCCTGGACAAACACAAGAAGTCGACACACATGGAGGTCATGTGACCAAAAACTTTCTGTTTTGAGTCTAAAACTTCTACAGGAACACAAATCCACCAGGCACAACATTATGACCACCAGCCAAAGGACAGCAAAATCAGCAGTAGATCTTTTCAGACTCCAATTATATAAAAATAAATAAATAAAAAGAAATATAGCTCCTTTAAATACCAGCTCTGAGGACAATATGTTTATCTGCTTCGTGATCCAACAACAGAAGAGAGGTTCCACCTACCAGTGTTCATAATGCTGGTGAAGATTCTCAGTCATCCAGGTCTTTTTTCATTTCAAAGAAGTTAAAAAACAAACCACTGGACTTTGTTTTCTAAACTTTTTTGGAACAGTTGTCATAATGTTCTGCCTGCTCACATCAGACCATGCGGTTGAACCTACCTGTGGATGTAAAGTTCTCTGTTGTTGGGCAGGTCATAGTTGATGATGAGAGACACCTGAGGGACGTCCAGACCTCGAGCCCACACGTCTGTGGAGATCAGGACACGGCTGGAAGGCAGAAAGGAGGAAAGTCTCTGTGAGAGAGTCTCCAAACTCTTAAATTCTCCGAGTCCATGTCCTTCTTCCAAGTCCTCGTATGTCTCAGAATCTCTTACCTAGCTCCAGATCTGAACTCCTTCATGATGGACTCCCTCTCCTTCTGCGGCATGTCTCCATGCATCGAGGACACCGTGAAGTTGGCCTCCCTCATCTTCTCAGTCAGCCAGTCCACCTGAAACAGCGGACACGCTGACTACACTTCCCATGAGGCTTTGCGGCTGTTCTCAGAGCACCAGGGTGTAAAGCTATCATCCCGTCTATATGGGCTCTAACATCACCAGGGTTCGGTTGGAGACAAAATCTTGTAAAAATACTTAAAGCTTCCAGAAAAACACGTTTGTTGAAATGAGAAAAATATTTTCAACTAACACAATTAATCAGATTAATATTGATTACTGAAAAAATGGTGGACTAATTTGGTAATCGTATTGTTAAAGCTACAGTGTGTAATTTTCAGCGACATCTAACGTCCAGACTGCAGACCGCAG